CTTGCGCTTCCGACCGCCTGCCTTCCTCCCGGGCGTCCCCGTCCCGCCTGCCGCCTGCCCCGCGCTCGCTGCGGAGCCTCCGACGCCTCTTCCGCAGGGACGCTCCGCGCGGGGCTCCTCTCCTTGCTCTCTGCCAACACCCTCTCCGCGCCATAGGAAGGCTCTTCCTCACCACGGGTTTTCCCTCCCACGCTCTTTCCTAGCCAAAAAAAACAGGGATTGGAACAACCCTCCTGCAAACTTCACGCAGAGGCCGCAGTGCCCCAGGTGCCCGCGGGAAGCCCCGGCGCTGCAGCACTCACCACCCTTCATCATTTCCATTTTAATGGATTTTTCTTCCCCCCCCACCCTTTGCTGTGTGTCAGCCTCCATTTTTCATAGTTAGCTCAGAATATAGAAAAAGGGAGTTTAGATATTTTCCATCTGCTTTCTATCCCCTCCGGCGCCCTCCGCGGCTCTGCACGCGCCTCTCGCGCCGTTCCGGCTTGGGAGAGCTCCCTCTGCTCCCCATGAAACACCGCCCCGTTTATAAGATTAAGTTGCGACAGGAATAGGATATTTCTTTTTTGGCGCAACGGCCGCTCCTCCTCTTTTTATTCTAGGCAGGTTTGTAAAGCTCCAAACGTGCTGGTTTTGGCTGTTGTAGCAGACGTCAGGTGGAGCAGGAGGGAGGAGGACGCGGGATATTTGTGCCTTCCTCCCCATGGCTCTTCCAGGTTAGATCGGGATCCTTTCCTAAGAGGAGCCCTCGCTTGGATTTAGCAAACCCAGGAGAAAGAGCTCGTTGTTTAGAAGCTATAAGAATATAACAGGGAGAACGCCGGCCCCTCAGCAGAGATGCTGCCTCACAGCAGTGGTCCCTGCAAACACTTTACGGCCCCTCAGCCCTGAAAATTGGGCCGAAAACCGGCCCCATCGGGGTTTTTAGGGGCCTCGGTGGGTCCCCGGGGCCGGCTGTGTCCCTGCCCGGGGCTGGTTTTGTGCTCGGGGTGGATGCGGCGCCTCCCTGCGCTCCGCCAAGGGGACGAGGCCGTGGTCCCCTCGGAGCGGCTCCCGTGCCGGTGGGGGAAATAAAGCGGGAGGAGGCTGCTCCCGGGGGGGTGCCGG